CTCCATGCTGAGTGTAGAGCCTGATTGAGATTATTTCCCTCTCTCTTTCTCTCTGCCTCTGCCCCTCACTCCTGATCATGCTCTCTCCCTCTAAAACTAAAAAAAAAAATAAAAATAAGTGGGAGGTTAGATCTGGAAAAATAAGTCTCCAGAGAGATTCTACAGTTGCTATAAGGAATTAAGAAACTTTCTTAGCTTTTCTTATCAGCTGGCCCCCAGTTTTCCACGTACTTAAAAAAAAATCCTAACCATCCATAAGCAAAATCTTCATTCCTTAGATATATTGAAATTCATTTTTATCACCGAATTCATCTGATTATATCTACCAAAATGTATTCACACTGCTCATTGCCTTCCCATTAATTTTCTAAGGTTTTCCCTATGTGAAAATTCTTTTTAAAAAATATGTCAAAAGCTTCCTCAGTTCTTTATCCATAGGGAACAAGTGGCAATGGGCACTGTACCTATCCACAAATACTTATTGTGTACCTAGTGAAACATTAACATCAGTAGTCCAATTTTTGAGTACTTGCTTTATACTAGAGACTATACTAAATGTTTTAAATACACTATTTCATTTCATACTTAAAATTGCTCTATACAGGAGGCACTTCCAGTATATATACAATGAAACAGAGACTTACAGAGAGTCAGAGCTAAGCCTACAGTTATGTGGCTCATAAGTAGATGAGTCAGAATTTGAACCCAAGACATCTGACTTCCAAGTCCATACTTAAGTCCATACTTTTAACTATTCTACTCTGTTTCTTCTCTATGGGCCAGTAATTCCAAAGACGATCTGGAAAAGTTTAAAAAAATGGAAAACCCAGTCTCTGGCCTAACGTTCTAATATAGCATGTGAAGTGAGCATACTTAGCAGAGGGGCAATGTTGGGCCATTTATGCCTAATGTCAAAAGAATGGTAAGGTAACATAAGGCTCTCACATCTGGCCCTGAGGATTAGAATGGGGAGGGGCCTTCAATTTTAGGAGATCAGGTAATCTTTGGAAGTCATTTTTAGTCCCAAACTTGCCTCTCATAGCCATGCTTAACAGAGAGAAGGGGAACACATCTAAAGAATCAGGAGACCATCTTAGTAAGAGCATGGGCTGTAGGGGATTGAACTTGAATCCTTTTCTAATTGAGAATTTCTCATCCTATCTCTCTGATGCCAATATTCATAGTCACCTCTTCTGGTGAAACAGTGCCAGTTTCTAAAATTAATTTCCCAAATGTTAGTTTAACTAATGAAAAGAGAGTTTGCCAGTTTCACTCTTCTCCAGGTGTAGATTGTGATCCCTGGAGTAGTTCCATGTACCAACGCTTTCACGTGCAGAACTGGAGCACTGCTTTATGTAGAGAGACTTCAAGTTCAACCAAAGATGCACCCACTGCAGCAAGCGATAATGGGGTGGGGAGCAAGACAATCAAGAAACCTGGACACAATTTAGACCTGCCCCTTATCAAGTGTTGCTATGATGAATGGGGTAGATGCCATCAATGGCATCAAGGGCAGGATTGCCTCGTCTCTTCTGAAGGAAGGTACCTGAATTACTCTTCTCTCCAAGGTCATTTAGGTAATATGGGTCAGCCCTGCCATTTCAAACCGCAATGTTCCCATATTAGGACCTCTAAGAGAACAATGTTAATGAATTCTTTCATCGTCAACACAACTCTACAGGAAGGGAGCAGAAGAGATGAAATCTGTTTCTTTTGTCTTTGCCTTTTGCTTTCAAAAATGAGTGGCTAGAAAAGTAGTTAAAGAAAAAGAGACATTATTGTTGCTGAAGTTATTTTGCCAATAACAGCACCCTGTTCTTGGGGTCATGCATAGGAGAGAGAAGGACTTTTAATGGAGAGATGTCTTTGGACACCCACCACAGTTTGTCAGCTGCAGATGCTAATGGAACCAGGCTTGGCGACTGAAGGGGAAAATGGAATATGAAAGCAAAATGAAATAGGCCTATGAGGCAAGCATGTCATTTCTAAATGAAGGTTTCATGCAAAGGAGTTGAGTCTTTTCACAGCTGAAAATGGAATCTTTAAATAAGATAAAATAAAAGGATGCTTTGGCTTGTTGCGGGTTCTGTAATGAAATACAGTTTTCCTAATACCGTGTGACCTGCATTTCTCCCTGTTTTATGGGTGCTATTCCTTGACGTACAAACCCGTATTTTCTCAAGTCAGCATTTGATGATGGATGTCAAAATACAGGCCATGTATTATGCATATAGCATTACCGATTTAAAGTGTTTACTTGTCAAGTTGAAGAAATTCAAAAACGTCACATCCACTGAATCCGCACAGCTGCCACTTGCAGTTTTTCATGCTTTTGAATGAAACTTCTGATGAAAACAGTTTAGTTTTCCCCATCGCTATTCTGGGGAAGAAAACAGCTAGCCTTTAAAATGCATGTACTTGGTGATGTGGTTGGCTGAAAAATACTCATTCCAAAGTTTAGAAAGATGGACACCGCATTGTCACTTGAAATTACTTTCCCCTTGTGCGCAGTCTATCAACACAAAGAATAAAATTAAGTGCAATCAGAGAATGAAGAGGAAGTAAAACTTTTTTTTCTCTCTGAAAGTATGGCATTCCATAGTATGAAATTTATACATGAGCGAGCAGAAAATGGGGAAAAAAACCCTTTCATATTTTTCTGGCATTTCATGCATTATGTACCTCCAAAACAACAGGCAATTATTGAGCACCTGTCATTTCATTCCTGATAGATAGAGCTTCACACATACCATAAACCAGAATCAATCCAACCTTGCTACATTCTTGGAGAATAAGTCAGGCATCTGGCCACACAATCTTTTTGGAATTTTGCCCTTGGGAACTTAGCAAGTGACTCTGTATCTATAAGTCCCTAATTCATTGGTAAGCCTGTATAGCCAATCCACCAAAGGCAAAGAAGAGAAACCAAAGAACGTGTAAACATCTATCTGCTCATCTTCTAAGGTTGGGGAGTAAATTGGGTCTTGCAGCCAGCATGGAGCTGATGGTACCGCTTGCCAGGTGCTTTATTTGATAAAATTAATTTTCACCAAATGAATATACTGAGGTAAATAAATGTTTCAGGTTTATAGGTCTCTATGCACATCCTTAAAGAGGCAGCCATTAAGCCTATCAGGGATGAATTCTCACCCTCACTAAACTTGAACTTATGGCTAGACCAAGCTCATTCTCATATGTACTTGGGATTTGGGTCTGAGCAGCTCAAAGTGCAAAAATCAGAAGACAAGTAGGCTACTTTTCCAATTTACTGTGCCCATGTTTACCTTATGAGGGCTGTGTTAGACACACTGGGAAGTTCAAGGGTCCACTATAAGCCAGTGGTATATGCAGCAGTCAAGATGATTCCAGCTTCAAGTAAAAACAAAACAAAACAAAAGCCTTCATTTTTTTTGCTTTCTTATTAGTTTTTATTGGCATTTACTAAATAGAAGAAGGATGTGATTATCAATGCAACCACTGTTTAGAAAGCACTTGAGCCACTGCTTAGATTTACATTTACTATCATGTGATTCTGAGAAAACTTCTCATTTTTGGCTTAAACAAAAGGAAAAATATATACAGTTGACCCTTGAACAATTGGGGAGTTAGTTTCAACTCTGCCAAGCCCCTGCATAGCCGAAAATACATGTGTAACTTTTGAGTTCCCAAAAACTTGACTCCTAATAGCTGAAAGCCTTACTGATAGCATAAATAATCTATTACCCTACATTTGGTATATTATGTGTATTATTATGTACTATATTTTTACAATGAAGTAAGCCAAAGAAAAGAAAATGTTATTAAGAAAGTCATAAAAAAATTGCATTACAGGACCTTAAATTGTGGGGGGGGGGGCAGTTTATGTACAAAACCAATGTACCCTACCTCAGGATTTTTTACCATAATAAATGAAATATACATATAATTATTATATATATAGAATATATACATAATCTCATTATCCTATTGTATATTAATATCTCATTCACATATACTACATGTAAAATCTCATGTAATAAGAATCCTGAGGTCAGTTGGTTTTGGCTCTGGGGCTGGTTAATTTGGGAACTCAAGGATATTTCTTTCTATCATTAAGGCTTTCCATCATTCAGTTTAGCCAATCTCATTTAGCTGGTGCTAGGCTGGTGCCCAACCTCACTGCAAGATGGCTGCCATAGTTCCAGGCACTACAGATACAAGAACAATGTGTAGTGAATTAGAAGAGAATCTCTTTCTATGTGACTTTTTTTAAGAGCAAAGAAAAGCTTCCTAAACACAAGCAAATTTCCTCCTATTTGGCCAGAACCTATCAAAAGGAACCTATCAGTTCCTTTGGCCAGAACCTATCAAAAACCCCAGCTTGAGTCACTCACTGGCAAGAGAATAAGTAACCAGTTGGTTTAAGATAATAGTCAGGATAGGTTAGGTTATGCTGTGGTAACAACAACCACACAAACCCTGGTGGCTTAAAGCAACACAGATTACCTTTTCACTCGCTCTGAATGCGTTTGGGTCTGGGTTACTGTTCAGGGCTGCTGCCCAGCATTCGTCTCCATAGTAACCCGTGTTCCCATGGTTGCCACAGTCTGGAAAAAGAGGCAGGAAGTCAAGTCAAATATTTGTAGCAGAAGCAATGGTGTACATTGTTCTGTTCATTTTCATGGGCCAAAGCATTTCCCGTGTCACACAGAAGCACAGAGTACAGTTTTCTGGTCTGCCTGGAGGGAGAGGGGAGCAAAAATCTATGAGCAAGATGAATAATTGGTGTAGAGATTCATTTTTAGGGAACTATCAAGGCAGGTTAGAATTAATACTAATGGCCTCCTACTTTGTCCTTCACAAAAGCAACACATCAGAACTTATCCTGGGAGTGCCAATTGTTGTCCTATAAATAAAGCATAATCTACTTTTTGTAAATTATGTATATATATTATATTCATATTATTCCCAAGCTTTCCATGTCTCTGACTTTTCCTCCTTCTCTCTTTCTTTTCCACTAGGGTTCACACCTCCAGGAATGGACAGATCCTCTCCAGATAACAGCCCAGTGCACGGGATGTTACGCCAGCCATCCATCACGACCGGGGTCAACATCCCCATCATCACTGAACTAGGTAGGGGCGAACATCAGCTTTGGGCAGATTTTTTTGTCCTCTTTTCCAGCACATAAGATACGAGGAAGTTGGCCCTTTTCTTATCTCCTTCAGCATAGTGGGCTCTAGTAGGGTTTGTTTGGGGGGAGGTGGAGAAAGGTATGAGTAGCAATGTGACAGATTACCAAAGGAAAAACTGATCTATCTTTCCTCTGAGAAGAATAGACAGTTTCCTTCGTGCTGGTCACTGTTCTCAAAGCAGCTTGTGATGATGGATTTGAGATTGGGGCATAAATTAGGGAAGGAGGAGGAAAGGAGGAAAGGCATAATCCACAGACTCTTCCTGTTGATTTTGTTTGGAAGCATCTCCAGACAGCTCCTACAATCAGAGCCCTCCCACTGAGGTAAAACCCTCAGGACTAAGCCAAACCCATTTTGAGAACTGGGTGGAGGCATTGGGCTAATGTGTAATAACTCTCCATTTAATCTATCCTAGTTGAACTTCTCAGCTAAAGGTCATTTTCAGTGAATGCCATTCTGGCCTAAAATAGAATGGGGTTTGGAAGGCCATGATCACTGGGCAGTGGAACCCAACTTTAACCCGGCCATGACACGTGTCTTCCTACCATTTGTGAATTTACAAGACTGCTGAGTGGCGTCTTCCCCCCAAGACAGTACTAACCACCTATGGTGCTGGGTCCCTTTACATTACAATGTTTCCTCTGTTATTCCCTCACTCTCTTCTTTTTCTGTACTTTCCTCCACTCCCTTTCCCCAACCCTTAAATGCTGTATCCAATTAGCTAAACCTGGCAAGTTGCCTTTGGTATCAGTCAATCAGGAAAAAAACAGTGGGACGCACATTCTAATGATAACTGAACTGGGTAAGAAGCACTGTTTTTCTTCACATCAGTATCTCCTTTTGTTCCGTTGTTGGTGTTTCCAACTATCATCGGCTTGTTTTTTATTTCACTGGCTGTAACAGAAAGACTACCCCATGGCACTGCTTTGAATGTGTTTTATTTGTGGCTCTGGTTGGAATCGACTGTCTTGTTCTGGCCTTTCTTAATGATTTTTTTCCCCACACAGCATCAGTAAACCTTTGATCACACCCATCTGACCTGGCAGTTGTTTCCAAAGCATCTTTGCTCTAATTCATTTTCTTTGGCCTGGGCCTTTTTTTTTTTTTTTCCATGTGTCCCCCTGCTTCCCCGCCTTCTCCCTCATATTCCTCTTCCAACACACTGTCAGTTTGACTGACATGTCTTCACAGCTCTCAGAGGAAGCCAAAGGAGAAATATAAAAATTTTAAGATAAGAAACCTAAGACGGAGCCTTCCCTCCAGCTGTTTATTTTCCTTTATTCTGACTTTATTTGCCTTTTTTTTTTTCCCCACAAGGCCTTTTCTCAGAACCTCTGGTTCTAAAGCCATAAAAGCAGCCAGCTCCCAGGGGACCTTTTCTTACAAAAGCCAGATTTCAAGAAGGGTGCCAAGGACAAAGTGAGCTGCTACTGAGGCACAGCCCTGCCCTCTGACCCCCATCTGCCTGGCCCAGAGCCTCAGGGAGCTTCAGAGTGGACTCACCAGGAAGATGAAGGGTTCTGGTCATGACTACATTTGTCAGGCCCTTCACACTTCCCCATGACTTGGTTAATAACTCTGTAAAAGGCACCCATCAGCAGCGGGTCTCAGAACTGGGGATTGATCTTCTAAATAGAGACAGCAAAAGTGCCGCTCTGCAGAGGGGTGGATAGAGAGGTGGGGAGCACCTGCCTTCGAATGACTCACGAATGAAACGAACATGCCATTCTCGTGGCCCCCAAATATATTTCATAATAAGAGAGCAGGCTTTTAACACAGTATTCTTGCTTGTGAGGTGTCTGGAAACTAAGGAATAAATTGTCCACCATCCAGCACTGCATTATTGGAGACGTAGCTATTTATCAGGACAAATTCGCTCAGGTCAAGGAGGATCGCACTATTTTCTGTTTCCAACAGTAGGAGAGGTGTCTTTTTCATGTTTAGAGAAGTTGGCTAAAAGCCTAGATTTCGGGATTGCTCTTCTCAGAACCTAAGGGTTGTAAGAGACCCAGAGAGCTTGTGCAGCAGGGACGGCAAGTTGGAAAATTCATCCAAATATCTCCATCTCAGAAACCTTCAGTGGCACTTCAATATCATTGTTGCCAAGAATTTCTTTTTCTGTTTGGAATCCAAATGCTGCCAGCTAACTAGGATATCTTGATTTGCGATTAGCAGGAGAGAAAAGAGAAGGCTGGATGGCCCAAATCTGAGACAACAATGCAGGCATTCAGTTAGCATAATGAAATCTCCTGAAGGCTTTGTCCCTCACCAGATTTCTTCTGTGAGCTCAGAGAACCTTCCATGTATTCACATCACCCTTACCTTCTGCCTTAAGCCTTGTTTACCTAGTGCTCATACAACCTTTGGCAAACACATCGTCATCCTCCAATCTCTTGGCCTCCCCACGTCCCCACACATATTTACTATTTACCTTCATGTTCTGAGCCACATTCCACATTATGTCAAACCAGTAGGATACCTTCTAAAAAGCACAGAGGATGCCAGCCCCAAATACTTTTTTAAAACTGTGTAGTATATTCCAGTCTTCACCCATTTGGAGAGTTCCAGTTGATATTAGTAGATCGAAGACTCCCAGAAGTTCCTCAGGAAGGAACTTTGTTTGAAGCTATTTAACCTGCTTTCCAGTTCTATGTGACTGTACAACATTTGGGTAGGGATTTAAAAAAAAATCCCTCTTAGCATCCACATAATGACTGTTCTGTGATATAGGCTTTAGGTAACTCTGTCAGCTCTCCCTCTGAAACTATCCTAGAACAATACACAGGATTTTCACAGAACCCTAGTTCCTGCCTTGGAGCTCTTTCCCAATGACTGAAATGCCTGGCTCACTGACAATCTAGTCATCTCTCCCTGCTTGTGGCCATGTCCCCTCCAAGCCTGGTACCTCCCCTTCCCCATTGTCTTGAAGAGAGGTAACAGATGCATTAGCTTTTGGAGCGTCAGTGCGCATGCCATCCTTGGCTAGTGTAAGTAATTAAAACCACACTCCTGCGCATATTGTCCAGAGTTCATATTTCTGATTCACAAAGCAGGAAGCCTTCTCTTTAGCTTCTAAGATACTTTTGAGTAAATGGAGGGAAGAGAGGAAAAGCTACCATTTGACCCTGGGAGGATCCCTGAGCAAGATCTTACTTGCTTCCAAGAGAGGTGGAGGGAAACTGGAATAACGTAAGTGAGGTGGACAGAACATTTCATCAGAAAGGCAATCCGTAGAGCAGCTAACATCTATGAAGGTCCTGGGCCAGGCTCACCAAACACCGTCTCATAGGAGCCTCCTGCCAACCTCATGAGAGCTGCTTTTATCTCTCCCATTTTACGGAGAGAGAAACTAAGGTGCAAAAGGATGAAATAAATGCCTTGCTTGTACAGGGTTTATACAGAGCTCGGATTCAAAGCTTACTTGTCAGATCTTGCGTTTTGCACTTTTACCCACTAGCCTGTAATTCAAGTGTTGCTGAGCGAAATGTTCCCCCATTAAAATTTTTCTCTAGGGAAACAAGACGGTGTCATTTAAAAATAATTCCATGCATAGCCTTTTATCCTATTATCATTTATTCTGCCTCATACAATAAACAAACAAAAGTTTTAAAAAAGTTACCCAAAAAGTAACTTTCAGGAAAAAAAAATTAAAACAATAACTCCAGGAAAGAGAAGTAGCAACTGATACATTTAGAAAGGAATCGGAAAAAGGAAACCTCATCTATTCTTTTCCTAAAAGCATCATAATTATTCCAGAAATCATGAGCACTCATCTCCTCCCCCACCACACACTTTCTTCCCTATTACTTGCTCTGCAAAACTGATAATTTCTGAAGCCAAGATGGGAATGGAAATTAATTTGTCATTTAATTTTTAATAAGTTAAAGACATCTCAGTGACACAGCCAATCAGTCTGCACATGCTTGCCGGAGGAGTCCTTGAGGAATCCTCCGATGGAAATGAACTATAGCATCAAATGCTGCATCTACTTGAGCTAAAGCACATAAAAGATTGAGCTGTTTAGAAGGGGAAAGGGAGAACGTGGGCATCCCCATGCAACTCGGAATGCACAGCAAGTCTGTGGCAGCAAGCAGCCGGAGACAGCCAGGGATCCATCCCACCGGGGGTCACCGGTCTATTCAACAGGGCCCGTCGGGTGTGCGCCTGGATTCAGGGCTAGGGACACCAGGCTCTACCCAGGCGGGCCCCCGGTGGGCTAGGTCCTGCCTGCAGGTGAATTCCTTGCCATGTGCCTTTGCTGTGTTCCCAGTCTATTGCTCTTCAGCCTTGATAAATTGCTTTCTTTTCCTGTGGCTAAACTTAGCATCCCAGCATGGCTACTCATGGCTACTCATCCTTGAAATATGTCCATATCTCAAAGGACTTGGCTACTGCAAAACACTTCAGGGTGTTCTTTGGTCACGATTCTACAGCTATACCAAAGGACTGACCAGCACTGTCCAGAAGTTCTCCAGCGGCCTGCCAGGGGCAAGGCTGCTTGAACTCATTGCTCTCCAGGCCTGGGAAGCTTGAACAATCATGTAGAAACAGTCCATTGAGTCTCCTGGCTCCCACTCCCAGATTCATCTACAGCTTCTCCCATGCTTTTCTTTCCTTTTCAGTGACTTCAGTGTTGCTAACCTAGTAGCCTGCTCTTTCTCTGGCTTCACTGTTTGTGTATGGTCTTTAGAGCTAACTCTCATTTTACACTTTTTCTAGTGAATGATACTAATGTTCAGTTTTTGGACCAAGACGACGATGACGATCCCGACACAGAACTGTACCTCACGCAGCCGTTTGCATGCGGGACAGCATTTGCAGTCAGTGTCCTGGACTCGCTCATGAGTGCGGTGAGTGGGGGTGGGGTAAGGACTGGAGCACCTCCGACCTCCAGCATTAGCAGCCCAGGGCTGGAGCTTGAGCTCCAGGGGAGAACATGGCCACACAAAGCTTGCAGTCTAGAAGGGGATACCAATGTGAGTCAGACTGCTGTGTAAATAACATTTGGTTATGTATTCTTGAAAGTGTGAGGAAGGTAAGGAAGAGGGGACATTTTGTGGGGAAGAGCACCTCTTGAAGAAGAAAAGCAAATGCAAAGGCCCGGTGGTGAGGGAAACTGACAACCTTAAGGAGGCCAAAGAAAGCCTGTGTAGCTGGGCCGTAGTGAGAGAGGGAGAGGGGAGGGATGAGGCAAGTTTGGACCTGCAAAACCAGGAAACTCATTTTTATGGCTTTGGTTTTTTTCTGCAAGATCAATGAGGAGACATTGAAGAGTGGTTTTAAGCTGGCAAGTCAGGTGATCAGGTTTATGTTGTAAGAGGATTGTCTTGGCTGGTGTGTGGAGGATGGCTCAGGAGGCAAGATGGTGGCAGGAAGTCTCAGTATATGAGACTATCAAAGCTTGGTTGAGGATAGAGCTGGCAGAGCTGGAGCGAGTGGGTACATCTGAGTGGTGTTGGTCAGGAAAATTGATAGGACTTGGGGATAGATTGAATATGAGCAAAAGATAGAAGAGAACAAAATGTCAAGGGTGTCTCTTCCATCACTGCCCATCACTGAAACATAAGTCCTGGGAGAGGACCTCGCATGAGGGCCAGGTCTAGCCAGTTCTCTGCTGCCAGGAGGAAATGAAGTGGTGGCAGAGAGAGGCAGGCGGGCTGGCTGAAGAGGTCAAAAGCATCATTGGTTTCTTTTATAACTTGATGTGCACCAAATAATCGAGGCATTATTTTTTCACTTTTGAGACCAAAAACAAATAACAATTAAAAAGTAGGCCCCCGGTTCATGAAGCTGTCTTGAACTAAAAAAAGGCAAAAGCAGACACTATTTAGAATAGGTTATATCTGGGGATTGTGAAGTATTCCCATTGAGTGTCTTTATTTATTAGAAAAGCCTCTTTATTTTGGAGTCCTCAAATTCACAATTTATGGAAATACAGACATAAGCTGGATAAACAACTGACCTTTGAGGAATCCATGAAAAAGAGTTTTATTGAATACATTAAAACCCTAAACATAGCTCACTGAGTTTTTATACACATACATTCCTTAAAGTGCTTAAGAAGGCTATTCTCCTGAATGTGTTAAACAACTGATATGCTAATTATGCATTATTCTCCTCTATTCATTAAAGTTAATCCCAGAAGAACCTCTATTTGAGGGGAAAAAACATAAAGCTTTTTAAGACTAATTTAGGTTATTCGATATTCCTGAATGTGATCCAACTGCAAGCACATCTTATTTAAAAAATTAGAATTATAGATTTAAAAATAATTATGAAACAATATTCATCTGAATTACGGTTGACTAGGCATCATGCCATAACTTTGCTTTCCAAGCCAAGAAGGAGAGAAAATGGTCCCTGGAGAAGGCATTCTTGGTTTCCCAGGACTTGTGATTTCTTCCTGATGGCCCGCTGGTTCTGCGCCTAACCTTTCTACCTGCTAGTGATGTTCGGCTCAGTTTGGGCAAAAGCCTTAAGCAACCCAGAAAGAATGAGCGAAGCTACAAGGTATGCTCATACAGTGCCAAATTGTCTGTACTGGTCTTCAGTTTCAGCAAGATTTCTGTAACTCATCTGTTTAGAAATTTCATTTGACTTCTGATCCTAATTAGAGAGATTACAGAAGATTGTTCTCACTAAGAGAGGATTAAATTGTTGACAGTAGATTTTTTCCCCTGGAACTACAAAATACTCTATTAACATTTCATAAAATCCAAATTTATAAAACTATGTCTGTTTCTACATATCAGACATTCAGGATACTCTAGGCAAGACCAGCTCTATAATTAGCAAGCCCACTTTTTCATACATTATTAAGAATTTCAAAATGATGACAGCAGAGCTTTAAGCCAAGAGAGGGGTCCTTCTGAGCATGGACCCCGGGTGATCGCAAGGCCACATGCCCACGAAGTCAGCCCTTCACACCAATAAAGCCAATAAAATTGATTTTAAGCAACAAAGAACTTCACCCTTACACACCCAAAGGGGCCCATGGTAGCCACGGGGTGGGGGTAGGGGGCACATCTGGATCTGAGCTGCACAACTATCTGTCTGTAGCACCACCAGGGAGTCAGTTCTTGGAAACTCAGATGAGAAATCAAAGTGGGTTGGTTTGAAATTTTTAAAAAGCCGTCTCTAATCTCCTTTGAAATGCAAACTGAAGTGTCTGGGAGAGAGGGGCTAAGGCATGTATGGATGCAACGGTCTGGCAGCAGCATTCCTTCTGAATTCCAGCCTGGGAAAAAAGGGTATCAAGAATCTAGTAACTGTCATTGTAATCATCATCGGCTTCATCTGTTGAGGGCCCGGAACCGTGCAAGGCACTTCAGCTCCAGTGTCTGATCTTTTGGGCAATAATGTGAATAACCCTGAAGCAGGGCATATTTAACCGATCCACTGACAGCCACTTTTCAAGTCATTAGTCAAAATGCCTATCCAGTTATTCCAGGCTTGGCTTTCATTGTCTGGCATGAACCAGTTGCACAGTGAGGTCTTCAACTCAGTCAGGTTCATCAGACACAGTTGACAAAAATGTTACCTGTAGTTTCTTTGCATTCCACCCCAACTGTAATGTATGAAAAACCAGGAGATTAGGCAAGAATCAAGGCAGTAACTAGAAGGAACCGAAAGGGCTGGCAGGAATGTAAATTGAGAAATTGAGGCCTCTCCAAGCAGCGGGAGCCGGAGGTAAGCTTCCAGCCCAGGCATTCGCTTACAAGCAGCATGCCGACATTTACACACACACCTCCTCAGATGTCCATGATCTCCTTTTCCTAGCCCCCAAATTGCCATTTAATCATGTGTCTAAACATCCCCTGAATATTGTCCTTCATAACTCAACTCCTGCTGCTTCCTGCTTCATTTGTTAAAAGAATAATGTTTTGATTTATCACAGGCATTCCTGAACAGATAGGGATGTTGCAGACATGGCCTCATGGCTTCCTCCTGCTAATCAACAGCAGAGGCACATGATGAGAGGGAGTAATTACGCGTGTGGGTGTGTGCCTCTAGGAAGAAGATCACCAAATAAGAAATGTATTTTTCAGAGTGGTACCAGCTTGTCGCTCACACACAGACGAGAAAGATGAAGGGAAGCCTCTCTGTATTTAGAGCCAAAATGGGCACGGAAGTATTCAGACTTCTTTTCCACAGCTACGTACTCCTCCCAACCCTCATCCCCAATTTTAGTTCGATCTGGACCCTCCCTAGGCAGAAAAGATAAGGCATGAACTAAGAGCCGGACTGCTTGGATCCAGAGCCCAGAACCACCATTTATTGGCTGTGTAACCTTAACCTCTCTGTGCCTCAGTGTTCCCATCTTTAAAATTGGGATAATAACGGTACCTACCTTGGGGTGCCTGGGTGGCTTGGACAGTTAAACGTCCGACTTTGGCTCAGGTCATAACCTCACGGTCCATGGGTTCAAGCCCTGAGCTGGGCTCTGTGATGATAGCTCAGAGCCTGGAGCCTTCAGATTCTGTGTCTTCCTCTCTCTCTCTACCCCTCCCTCATTCATGCTCTATCTCTCTCTCAAAAATGAATAAATATTTTAAAAACTTTAAAAAATTAGAGTACCTACCTCATAGAATTGTTGAGATAATTAAATGACTTAAGATTGTAAAGTGACTAGTGCAGTGCTTTGCAATGACAAGCTCTTTTGTATTTATTGTTATTAATCAATGCCTTCCCTGGGCCCTTAACTAAATGGACCCTGCCCTCATGTTGTTGGACCTTTCATTTTAGTGTGCCATAATTATGTAAACGATAGTAGCTATCATCACTGATAGTAGTAGTAGTAAATGTATACTATCAAATGGGCAAAACTGATTTGAAGAACATAAAATAGTTTGTATGGGTATGGAGACCTGTGTTAGCCACAAGGGTCAGTGTAAAGCTGTCTTAACAGAAAACTTGGAAGCTGACACCGAAAAATCAGAAGAAGAAAGCATCTGGGGGTGAGGGCAACTAGCTTTCCCAGGCAGAAGAAGGAATGGGGCACAGGCTGAACAGTGGTGCTGAGCTGGGTTTGGTTTGTCCGAGGGAGGAGTTAAAGCACGTCGTGGTTAGAATGTAGTAGATACAGAGGAGGGACATACAAGGAGCAGGCAGACAGGCAAAGCTGTCGTCCATACTGTGAGAATTCTGAGTCCAAACGACCGCACTCTGTCAAGTTTTAAGTCCAGGTTTGAACACTTCAGTCTTGGTTAGAGGACGCATCTTCCTTTGGAGGCCGCCAGCGGTCCCCTAAGGGCACTGCTTCCTGTGTGTGCTGGCTGGAAGGACACACTCATCACCGAATTGACTCCTGAAGTAACCCCCGATTATTTGTCTGTCCAATGCGCCATCCTAGTGCACTCATTTTAAGACAAGAAAGGAAGAGATTTTGGCACGAGTCCCTGGACTGTTGGTATCCGGCTTCTAAGGAATGGTCTATCACAGAAGTCTCAAAAAAGCACATAGCAGGTGACGCCCATCCCACAGACAGGTTCTGCATTTCCAAAAGGTTTTTCATGTTTGAATGGAATCTGTTGCCAATGTTTTAAAATTACAAGATTACACATAAAATATGGGTCTCCAGCTACTTTTGATTGGAGTCACAAAGCAGATTCCCAGATGCCCACAAAGCAGCAATTGGCTAGAGCTGGGCGATGCTCCCATTAGCTACAGCCCACATGGTTCCCCATTGGATTCCACCAGGCCTGTTTCACTCATGCCACTGGTCCTTGCCTGTTGATTCCACCGAACCAGACTTCCAGGCCTTCTGCTTTGAATTGTGAGCCCACACGACTGTGGGCAGACAACATCCTTGGTCTTCTGGCCGTTTGCCCATCCTTTGAGTCAGGAGGTT